GTACAGAAACAAAAGAAAAGAAAATACACTTACGAAATGCTGGGGACGAAAATGTTTTTCCCAAGGTTGCTGTCGCCTGCTGCCCATTGTTATCAGAACGGTACGTTACATCACATACTCGGCCAGGTTTTTATCCTATTCTGTTTTTTTTTTTTGGGGGGGTTTTTTTTTGGTTCTTTTATCCCCTGCCTAAAGTTTCCGCTTGAATGAGGCCGTAAAGCCGACACCCGTCGTTCTCCTGATGATGTCTGGGTGTAAAAGAAGTTTTGCCGAGTGGTTTCAAGGGGGGCTTAATGCGTACAAAAGCCTATTGTTGCTTTAATTATGGCCCCATTATAAAACGCCCGCTCGTAAATCTTTGTCCAAGTGGGCTAAACCGTGCCTTCCCCTGACCCCTCTGTTTTAGTTGAAAGGTGCTGTGGGGTGAACGCCTCTTATGCTATGTATATATCGTTCTTTTCCTTCTCTTGGGGTCCTTTTCTTTTTTCTCCTATATTACTTCTGTCAGAGGTACTGGTACTACTTTTCTTGTTGGCTGCTTATATCACATGCCGTGCTCAGGTTGCACTCAAACATAGAAACAGTTGGACTCCGTTCGCCCTATAGGAAATCAATAAATCGGCCAGTACGCATTCATTTCAGCTAGGTCGTAAACCCTGAAGACTGTGCACTGCCCATACGGGATTATGAAACGCTAATAGTCCGGATATGACTGGGTGTAAGATGTAGAAAGATGTTTATAAAAGACTGATATTTTCGGGGACCACTGCGCTTTGGGTGGGAAAAGGGGGGCGGGAGCACATTAGGGCGTTATACAAGTGTTTTTGTTTTATGCTTCGCTGCTCAACCTTGAACTTGCGTCGTGTTCTTAAAAGTCAAGGATGCACGCTGTTATAACTAGGAAGCAGACGGTGAACTTTCCGATGTACACTTTTTTGGGGCGGTTGCAAATTAACACGGTTCATGTAGGCCTAGCGTGTATTTATGGAGCTACCGTATTTTGGTTCTCATTACAATAGATTCGATTTGTTGGTCAGTAATGATTTTTCTGCTCTGTGTTTACAGACTGTTACGTCGGACGTAGACCTGTTTGGCTTGTGGGTTGTTTGGGGGGGGGGGGGGGGGGGGGGGGAGGGGTGCATGGGTACGTAGTTGGTATTTTGGTAAACGTTTAGAAGGCGCAGTAATGTTTATTGGTGTTTTTTGTGTGAAATAGTCGTGCTGAGAACAATTGTAAATAATATTTGATAGATTCATTTTACATTTATCCATCCATCCATCTTGCACGTTCGGCGTGACTCATCCGAATGATTTATATGGTGGCATTCGAATTATCTTTTAAAAATGACATGGTTGACATAACGAAACGAAACTCGTGAAACTGGTTTGAGTGAAAGTTGCAAGGAAGTACTTAGGGTGGGGGGGGG